TCTATATTATATATAATATATTATAGATTTTATACTGACAAATAAATCACTCATATTGATATAAATAATTTTATGAATATTACATATATCTTGATAAGATATATGAAGTAGTAAATTACATGAATAGATATCTTTTTAATAAATCTTAGATGGATCTTAAATAAGATTGAAATTTGTTATGGTTGGTACTAAATTTTGGTATCACTCAGATTTTTTTCATTTTCAGATATTTGATATATGTTTTTAAGTACTTTATTTTTTTCTATATTTTTTGGAGATTTAAAGGTATATGAAATGCCTTGGCAAGTTTAAGCTTGCAACCGTAATATCACCTCTCTCTTGGCTAATCTAACTATACAAAAATAAACATTTTTTTGTTTTACAATGAGAATGAGTTGTATTGAAATAACTTGTACTAGTTTGAGAAGCTCCCTTCCCTTCCACCGAAAGACGAATGAGATAAACGTGAGTTGATATCACACTAAATATATATAACTTTATTATTTTCTTATCAATATTTATTTCAATCTCGATTAGGATTCCTTTGTGTTATTTTTTAAAATTTAAATTTCTAGTTGTTCCTATTTGCACATGATTCAAGGATTATTTAAGTACCTAAATATATATAGTAGATTTGACCTCGTCCTTTTATGTCTCGATTATAATATTGATTCTACATCATATCAAATTGACTTGCAAAAAGGTAGGCAGCATTAGGAATGGGACAAGAGTGGGTCATGTTTTGACTAATTATCAATAAGAGGTGGATAAGTTATGAGGATAATGGAAGAAAGAGTATAGATTCATGCAAAATATTTCCTTGTAGAGGCTAAATATTTGGTTTAGGAGTGCCAACCCCATTAAAAAGTCAAAACTATATTATTTACTGGAACCTATAGTTTTAATTGAAAGATCATAATTTTTATCCCTGTTCTAGAAATTTCTTCAAGGAATAATTCTTAGCACATATCCTATATTACAAGACTCATCACGATTAGGTTAACTCATCCAGTGTTTTATTTATAGCTATTATATTTCCATCAAACTAAAATCATCATAGTTCGATGTTTTACTTAATTAATTAAAATCATCATGAAATTTTTTTGATAAAATATCCTATTTAATTAATTAAAAATAATAGTGGAGGTTAGTTGTGTGAATAAATAAATATATGCGAGTAGAATCAATAAAAGGAATATATGTGAATAGAATCAGGATAATATCAAAATTTGCGAGGACGATGCTATTATTTCTACACTTTGGAGGGACGGATACGTAAAAAGGCCAGTGCCTCGTGGCAGCGGAACGGCCAGTGATTCGGGTGTTCGGTGTGATGGACCAGACATCATCGGGCGGGGGACACAGGAATCCTGGCCGTACGATGGAGGGCGCCAGTGGGGGAGGGTCGGGGCAGAGGTCACGTGGGGGGGCGGATCCGGCCAAGATCCGTTGCAGTAGCCGGCACGCCGGCGGCAGGGACCATCGCGATGGCGACACGACGCCAGTCACCCGCCTTCTGCCTCGTGATTCGTGCTCTCCCTCCACCCATCGAGCGCCTCAGGTATCGCGAAGGCCGACCACGGCACCCATGTGGCGCTCATGGTGCAGTCGCCCTCCCCGGCACCACCATCGCCACCACCGCCACTACAGTCTTGTCATGGCTCCTCGGAACTTGTGAAGGCAAAAAGAAACGCCACCCTCGCACGCTGCTTCTTTCGAGAGGAAAAGTGGCGGTCAGTGGAGGTTTGGCGTCTGCTGAGCCTGGGGAAGCCTGCAGATACCCTGGATTTGATCTCAGTACGTAGGGGAATAGCACACGCGACGCAAGGAATGAAAGCAACTTTTCGATGTATATATCTACATGCTGATGGAAGTACGTACGCGGGTGCATGCTCTCAGCAACATCATCGTCGATACAGGTGTGGGCTGCAAGACCATGATCTCCTCGGTTCGTCTCGCAGATGCATGGAAAGTCTTGTTGCTCCACCTGCGGACACCGAGAAGACTTCAAGCTGGGGTTCTTTTAGCTAATCTACCCTGCTTCTGCAGGAAGGAGGAGAAACAGTACACGTGATATGCTCATGTTATCTCCATTTATGGTTCTCGGATGCTGCTGAGCTAATATTATTCACAGGTGCGACGACAGGAAGGAGGAGGAGCCACCGATGGGCCCCACTGCAGTCTCCAATGGCCGATCCTATATACAGATGCGATGCAAACAACTCGTGGGAATGTGTTGAGAACTTTTGCTACGCTATGATGACGTTTGATATATATGCGCGCCATAAGTAGCATCCAATGCTCAGATTGTAACTGTAAAATATGTCATATGTAATGCAAACAATTTTTTATATTAGTATTAAAATTAAATAATATTAAAATATATATTTTTGATATCATCCGAAAAAGATTTTTGTATGACTTGTAAAGACATTATTTTTAGATCTAAAATCATAATCTCTCGATTACATATTCTAATTGAGTTCCTCGTATCAACAACATCCCTGAATCATGAACTTCTATTTTATTGATCAATATCTATCATCAAAATTTAATTAATTTTATTATATATCTTATCCAATTATAAAGGATAATACAAACTCAATATCTTCGATTCGAAACTATTATTTTTTATATTAAATATTTTGACCATATGTTGAATGACGTGGAAGCATAGTTTACAAGAAGATAATTTTTTTGTTGGGTGCATAAAGTAACTTATTAGCCAAAAAAGATAAAAGAGCGAGAACATCAAGATATCTATCTATCTATCGATATCGATGATGATGATGATGTATCTGATATATTATATTTATTTATAAAATTTTTTTAAAAAAATATATATTTAATAAATCATACATAAAGCATCAAATTTTTTTATATAAAATATTAATTTAATACAAAAATATTGAGTATTTGAAATCTTACATAACTTTTTCTTGAAAAAAATAATATCACCAAAGGTGGTTAAGTAATACAAAATTCAAAGCAAAAAAAAAAAAAAAAAAAAAAACTATGTGATGGTGTGGTTGTTTCATCTGCTACTTGTATCCTAAAAGTAACCTTTGCTTCACAGGTCTTCCACCTCTATGATTGTGATCTTTACTCGGAGTTGACACTGCAACCGATAGGGTTGACAGCAAACTTTTCTTGATGCGTATGAACGTTTACCGTAAGCCAAAGAATTCTGAAGAAGCAGCCAACTTTGTTCTGCATCAAAAACAGTAATCCTTGTCAAACTAGTCGATTTGTCTTGCCAACTTTTGTTGATGGATGAAACTGCAACTGCAAGGACGAGAAGTTGATGTATCCAAATCAAGTTTCTTGTAGAACTTCGATAATCGACGTGGATTCAATGCGAATGCGATTCCACCGAATCAATTGAAATGCTTAATAAATATTAATTTAATCGGAAGAGTAGATGATGGATGGATCGATGATCAACGTGTGGTGTGTGGAAGGAAGGAAACAATAGGTTGGGGTTGGGGTTGGGTTTCCCAACGAAGCTTTTCTTCGGTGTAAAGCTGACGGGGCTTTTCATGGGAACGAAGACAAAAGGGTACGAAGGTGGGGGGGGGACGGGGTACATTAATGGCCAAGGTCAAGTGGCTTCATCATGTCCCGCAATTACCACGCTGCCCTACTCCACTGTGGATCTCGGAATTCTTTTGGCTCGGAAGGGAATCTAATCATCTGATTCAACTGCCATCATCTGATAGCTGACAACGGCACAGCGCTTGCGGATGATGGTGGAGATGGCCGAAGCGTTTTTCTTGGATTCATTACCTTCGTGCGTTGTCAGTGTGCGGGGAAAAAAGAAATGGATGAATTTGCAGCAATATTATCAATTATTCTGATTTCATCATCTGTAGCAACAAACATAATCACAGATCGACAATCTCTTACTATATATATATATATATATATATATATATATATATATATATATATATATATATATATATATATATATATATATATATATATATATATATATAT